TTTATTTAGTACGTGTTGGGCAAATGCTGATTCGTCCTTGTTTAGTGTTATCTTTCTTATGTGTCCTTTGTATCTTGTTAGATTTCTACCAGTTTGGCCGATGTATACTTTTTGGCATGTTATTTCCTATATCCCACTTTGTTCGTAGGGCTTTATTTCTCGTTTTTCATTTATTAGTTTACCTATTGTGTTGGCTGTTTTGAAGGTTATCTTTATGTTAGTGTTTTTGGATAGTTTTGTGATTTTTCGTATGTAATTTCTTGTATAAGTAGAAGTGACCCATTTTGTTCTCTTTCGTCCTTATTATCCGGGTTACCCATCTTTCGCTTAAGTTTGTTATATAGATAAACGATACAGGCTCCGTCCCAGGTGCAAGCAGTGTGTATTATATGTCTTTGATCTTGCCCTCTTCTGCGCTGCGTGTTTCGGCCTCTGGCGGCCATCATCGGGTGTATACTCTTGTGTTGCTGCCACGCTGAGCCCAGTCTGAGATTTGACATTTGGGAAACACATTGTTGTTTTCTTCGTTATTGTCGGCATCTACCTCGTTGATGTCTGTCTGGTATGTAGATTATTTTGCACACGTCAATTTTGATTTTCCTGTAGTAGCGCTGTGAAGTCTTTAGTTATAATTTTAAAATCCTTTAAAATTATAAATAAAGATTTTGTAGTGCTGGTACAGGAAAACCACAATTGAGGTGTGCAAAAAAAAAATCTACATACCAGACGGATGTCAGCGGGGTGGATGTTGATAATAACGAGGAGGGTGGCAGTGTGTTTCTTGGATGTTGAATTTTGGACTGGGTTCAGTGTGGCAGCGGCGTGGGAGTGTACACCTGGTGATGGCCGTTGGAGGCCGGGGCGTGTGGTGTGGAGGAGGGCAGGATCGGGGACATATAATGTGTATTGTTTGCGCTTGGGACGGGGTTTGTATCGTTTATCGTGTAGAGTGCAACAGGATGCTTAAATATAATATTTGTTATATAGATGTGTGATGTCTTCCTTTCTATAGGCATTATTTAGTGTTATATTAATAATAGTATTTAATTCTTTGTTTTTAGCATTTTCCTCAAGGGGTAGTGTAAGAAGTCTGTGTATCCAATTTTTATATGCTGGCAATTTTTGTTCTTTAGGGTAGCATGATTTATTATTTATTGTTATGTCTGTCGTTGTGGGTTTTCTGTATATTTCCATTTCTATTTGTCCGTGTCTATTAAATATATTTAAGTGCAGGTAAGCTAAATTTTTTAAACACTTTACAAGTTTTAATACCAGGAAGGCTGCTGTGATTGTGAAAGGTTGAATATTGTGTACATTGTGTATTCCAGGCATTATGTGTGTACGTAATTTAGCAATCAGAACACCTAATGTGATGGTGGTTTCCGAATAAGTATTGATGTTCCCTCTGAAGATGATCCGTAAGCGTGTGTGTGTGTGTGTGTGTGTGTGCCTCTCTCTTTCTCTCTCAAGTCTCAATTCTGAGACAGTAAAATATGGTCGCCAGTCCCAAGGGACTCGGACCCGAGAAAGACTGCGCTGGCAAGAGCCAGCAGCATATACAAAAGACAGACCCGTCATCTCGTCAGAGAAGGCGCCCCACAGAAACAAGACCGTAACTGTCAAACGATAATAATTAATATCTGGTCATGAGCCCCAAATGGGGCTCGACACCAAGACTTACTGGCTGACTGACCGTCAGTCGCAATGTAACTCTGACTCTGACTAAGTACCCGTCCTCATGCAAATAGGCAGCCTCTCGACAATATGTTGAGATTTGTGACTGCAGTACAGCAGATCATGACAGAGATCAATGGTGCAGTGTCTGAAGAGGACAAAATAATGGCCATTACAAAAATTGTACTAAATCTCATGAAACAAAATGGCCACTAGAATTCATAGGCCACTCACAATCATAGCATTTAATGCGAACGGCATTTGGAGGCAGCGCTATGAGCTCAGTAAACAGCTGCAAGACCTACGCATAGATGTGGCCCTGTTTTCAGAGACACATCTGAAAGCTCATAAGAGATTTTTTCTTCCAAAGT